TATATATATATATATATATATATATTGCTAAATTAATTCCATACTCCAAAACTTCCGCTTGTCTTATCGCTAAGAAGAGCGTTTGCCTTTATAAAACCAAAATCGCAAGCTTTTGCCTATTCGGCACGACATATATATATATATATATATTATGATATGATATATATATATATATATAATATATATATATTCGTGCCGAATAGGCAGAACTTGCCGATCTTTGCCTAAATAGCAACGCCAATCTTGCCATATAGTACAAGCCGAAATTGTGTATTCAATAATTTCGCAAAAATCTTCTAAACCTTAACGAAAAAATATATTTCTTGTGTTTTTTTTAGTATTAAATTTAATGTAAAGGCATTTTAAAATATAATTTAGTTGGTAGTGCTAAAATAATTTGGTTCTTGTTTATAATAAGGTTAGGAAAGTTTTCTACGATTCTTTTGGTGCAAAATTAAAAATTTTTTACATAACTTTAATAAAAAAAATATATCTTTAAACTATAAGGAAATTTTTAGAAAGGACTTAAGTTTAAACGAGTTCTTTGCTAATTGACCATTTTACATATTCGGCACGCCCAAAATATATATAATAAAATTATATATAATTATAAATATATATATAATTATATATATATAATATATAAAATATAAAATATATAAAATATATAAAATAAAAAATGCCATGTTTTATTGACCTTCACACGAATCCTTGAATACTTTTTTCCTTCACATAAGTATATATTTATATGTGCTACTCACTAAAAAATTCTTTACAAATGTTCACAGAAATATGAAGCATAATTCCAGGCATAACTTCATAAATATTTACTGTGAAGTTTGAATTATGAGTCTGTTCCTTCAGGATATGACTTTAGGGCTTGTGACCCGGGAATAAGAGCAAATTTAGTTTCCCTTCAGGTCAGGTCAGGTCAGGTCAGGTCGCTTGGTACCCAGGTGTGTGTAGCGGTGCTTGGTGCGACTTTCTGACCTGTTGTAACTGAGGGATTAACATTTTTTTATGAGTGATCGTGGACTCTTGTGGGTTGGGATGGAAGGGGAAGTGGAGGCTAGACGGACGGTGGTTCGAGTCCACAGCAAAATGTTTTCGCGTAGTGTAAGTATTAAAAGTGCAAACATCACGCAAGCACACACACACACACACACACAGGAGGGTCAGGGGAGGGCCAGGAGGGTCAGGGGAGACATGATAACGACATATAAAATACTGCGCGGAATAGACAAGGTGGACAAAGACAGGATGTTCCAGAGATGGGACACAGACACAAGAGGTCACAATTGGAAGTTTGAAGACTCAGATGAATCAAAGGGATGTTAGGAAGTGTTTTTCATCATAGAGTAGTCAAGTCGGGAATAGTCTAGAAAGTGAAGTAGTGGAGGCGGAACCATACATAGTTTTAAGGCGAGGTATGATAAAGCTCATGGAGCAGGGAGAGAGAGGACCTAGTAGCAATCAGTGAAGAGGCGGGGCCAGGAGCTATGACTCGACCCCTGCAACCACAAATAGGTGAGTACAAATAGGTGAGTACACACACACACACACACACACACACACACACACACACACACACACACACACACACACACACACACACGCACACACACACACACTGGACGACACTGGAGGACAGGAGAGATAGGGGGGACATGATAACGACATACAAAATACTGAGAGGAATTGACAAGGTGACAAAGACAGGATGTTCCAGAGATTGGACACAGTAACAAGGGGACACAGTTGGAAGTTGAAGACACAGATGAATCACAGGGATGTTAGGAAGTATTTCTTCAGCCAAAGAGTAGTCAGTAAGTGGAATAGTTTGGGAAGCGATGTAGTGGAGGCAGGATCCATACATAGCTTTAAGCAGAGGTATGATAAAGCTCACGGCTCAGGGAGAGTGACCTAGTAGCGATCAGTGAAGAGGTGGGGCCAGGAGCTCGGACTCGACCCCCGCAACCTCAACTAGGTGAGCAACTAGGTGAGTACACACACACACACACACACACACACACACACACACACACACACACACACACACACACACACACACACACACACACACACACACACACACACACACAAACCACACAAAACTACCTCCTGCTCATCTGCTCACATCACATAATAAAACAATCGCAAATAATCTTTAACAGTCTCACTCAAACAGTTTTAACCCAGTTAATCAGCAAAGCACAGTCAAGCCTCGACCATCTCACGCACCGTCAAGTCTCCACAACACTGCCAATCAATCCACCAAATTATGCAATAAAGTCACACCTGCAAATTATTCAACTGACAGGTAATCCGTTGTATTGACTTCCTCAAAGTCTTACGCAGTTTAAATTTTTTTTTTTTTTTTAAGCGATAGATTTAAAAAGATAACAAATTACGATATCTTATTGCATGGCTATTGTCAGGCCAAGTAATTTATTGTATTGAGTGTGAGGATTGTCAAGGCTATTGTTGATTTTATTTCCAAAGTTAAGATTGTTAGTCACAGAAAATTCACATTATTATTATTATTATTTATTTTTTTTTATTATTATTATTATTATTATTATTATTTAATAATTATTATTATTATATTATTATTTTATATTATTAATTATTATTATTATTATTATTATTATTATTATTATTTATTAATATTATTATTATTATTATTATTATTATATTATTATTATTATTAATATTTTAGCAAATTATTCATATTAAATCATTATCATAAATGGTGTAGGACATTTAAATAATTTATCTGAATAATGTGTAATCACAATATAAAATAAAAGATAAAAAAAATAGAGAAAAAACAATAAAATATTGTAGATTAAATAAAGTTGAAACTAATGTATTTATGTCGTGCAAAAAGCTTTATTAATATATAAATAAAGAGTAAGAGTTACTGGAATACAATCATTCTCTCTCTCTCTCTCTCTCTCTCTCTCTCTCTCTCTCTCTCTCTCTCCTACATCGGAATTGATCCTGTCTTTATTAAGGCGGAATAATCCATTATCAGGTGGGGGGGGGGGGAAGGCCATTTAGAGGCGCTAAGTCGATTAAGGTTATCAGGTGGCCTTTGTCTCGTCTCAGATAATAGGCTTTGATCTCAAGATAGTGAGATCACAAGTAATTAACTATGACCACCTGGACATTACGTACAGATAGTTAAAGATCACAGGATTTAGAGTATT